CCCTTGTACAAAGCAAAGTGAAGGACAGGGTCTGGTTTTAACAAGGCTAGCCTAATATAGGCCTATTATTTAAATAAAACTTTATTCTGGAAGTGTGGCAGCTATGATTTTTGCCGTGGCGGTGCACCACGATCAATTACATATAGGCAAACCCTGAATGGGTATTGCTAAATTTCACATTGATAGTTTTTGTTGTAGTTACTGTTATAYATTTGTTGTTGTGTATTTTAAAATAAAATGAAGAAACTGATCACAACAGTCAAATGATCATTTTACTGATATGTTTAAAGATTGCAAAGGCTGAAAAATATTGAAGTTCATATAAAATTACAGGTAGCATAAGGATTTAATTTTTTATGCTTTTTAAGGTCAAAAAAGTGGGGGTCATATTATGTGTGACGTTGTATTACACRTGAATAAATAAACGGTAAAAGTTTAGAGCTGTTAACATAGTTTGGTGTGTTTTTGTGCCTCTATCACACATAACTGATCATCTTAGARTCACGATGCTTCAACTTGGTGAGGAAAGGAAACTAAGGTGGAAGATGACAACCTAAAGCTTAATTATACAACAAAATGTTAACTTTGTGAACTCTGCTCTGAACTGAGTGAAGTCAGTCAGACCAGGTCTCCACATCCTCTTAGAAARAAACAGACACCTTTAGTTCTGGACAAACTGGTCAGCAGTAAGTCCTAAAGCTCCATTACGTAATGGGCTAGGCTTGAATCAATACTTTTCATCCCCACAAAATTAAACAAGGCATGAAAGAGAGGGCTCTGGACAGGCCCACCTGCGGTCTTGACCTGTAAACAATAAAACGCTGGAAGATTTAAAATGAAGCWGTTTATGTTTTACATCTAAAACATTTAAAACATTTAAAAACATCTTAGCAGAAAAACACTTTTCTGTTCCCAGAGAGGTAAAAACATTTTGTTCCAACTTATAGTAGGTTATCTCTGGCTAATAAATGTGCTCTATGCACAGGTTTTCTTTAAAATAAACACCAAAGTGTGTCACATTTCGTTGATATAATATGATGTTTTTTGCCCCCCTCATCTTCCCTTGTGTGGTTTTTAGTTTTTTTTCTTTTAAGGGTTGCACCTCCTCATGATGTCTTCATGAAGATGATCCTTGCTCTGTGCAGGGTCAGTGGCTGCATGACCCAGGGCACCTGTTCTCCTATGTTTGTTATGTTCTGTCTTCTTCTGAATGGGTGTTCTGAACTGTAATTAAATTGTGCTCTGTACAATGACAATAAAATTCCCTCTAATCTAGTCTAATCTAATAATGATACAATATATTATTTTATATTAAACTGAACAGCAGGGCAGAAGTTAACAAACAAAAGGAAATATAACAATCAACAGATTTGTGAGAGAGTATGGTGACGGGACAGACCCAGGGCGCAGGCAGGTTTCAAAATATAACAAAAAGATTTATTAAAGTAACAAAAAGAGGGTTGGTGGCAGCAAACTTACAAAATGCACGAGGATGGCAGGCAGGGGGAACAGAACTCACGCAGAGCAAAGCAGACTGAGCAAAACAAAGACATGCAAAAACAATGATCCGACACAAGACTGAGACAGGACAGGGTTTAAATACAYAGAAGACTAATGACTGAAACACAAAACACCTGAGGAGAAACACAAGGGTGACAATCAAGGTAAATGTGGGGCAGCTGGGCAAAGACACACTGGGGAACATAGAAAACACTAGGAAAACTAAGGAAAATAAATACAGACTATGACACCCTGGTCTTCCACCCCATCTGAAAGGAAAAGGCTTAAACCTCCCTCCATTGTAAATATCTGCACTCACCTGTATATATGTCCTGATGCATCTCAGTAATCCAGGTAAAAAATCAAGAAGAAAAAAATTGCATAGGTCTTCTGGATGGGTTC